ACTTTTGCTGGATTTTACTGGAAATGATAAACAAACGCAATTTATTATTAGCATAGTTAAATACACCACACCCGGTGCTTTCGTCAGAGAGCGACGCATCACTATAGAAAATATAGAACTTATCAGTTTTGTGTTTGCCCAAAATACTAGCATGATGACCTTTAATGCTCTCATTTGTCTATGACCTTTTTTTGTTAGGAAGAGTTTTGTCAGAAATTTGAAAATCAAAAGTGGGAGGATGGAAACAAACCGCATCAAAAGGGGCAAACATATGAGAGAATTTGTTATAGACTGCAGAATAGCTAGAGTTAGAGTTTAAAAAAGGGTTTTTTGCTGACTGATTTGGCAATCGGATCATTATATGCTACCAAGTGGATAAAATCTATGCGGATTTCTCCAAAGCATTTGATAGGATATCCCACAGGATATTAGATGCTAAACTTTGCCAACTAGGCTTTCATTCGGTTTTTCTTCGGTGGATCATGTCATATTTAGCGGAAAGGAAGAGTTTCATTTTTCTATATGGAGTTTCCTCCAAAACATTCTCCCCTACTTCCGGTGCCCCGCAAGGAAGCATCTTGGGTCCTTTGCTTTTCATTTTATTTTTAAATGACATCGGGTTATGCTCTCCAACTGCTAAGTTTCTTTTGTACGCTGATTGACAAATTGCATAATTGGTGTTTAAAAAATCGATTGTGTTAATATTATAAATGGTATAAAATTACATTTGCCAAACTACATAAGCCTCTGCAAACTTCGTATCATATTCATATTTTATTGCCGGTTAATGAAATTAAGAACCTTGGGATTTATTTCGACACGAAGTTTTCGTTCCTTACGCATATTAACTGCTTTATCGCAAATGCGTTGTTGTTGTTGTTGTTGTTGTAGCGGCTACTAAGCCCCGCTCTGGTCGGTATATCCGTCAATGTTGTCGTCCATTTCAGCTAGGGGGAGGCCCACGAAGTGTGTGACTTCCACAGGGTCTGTCCATAGGGACAGGGGCGTCAGCTGAGTGGGGTTCTCAGGGAATGTGAAGAGGTGCCGAGAGTCATGTGGCGACTCTCCACATGCCGGGCATTGGTTGGGCACATCCTCATTGATTCTGCTCAGGTAAGAGTTTAGCCTGCTACAATAGCCAGAGCGAAGTTGGGCTATTGTAGTGCGGGTCTCCCGAGGCAGACAAAATTCTGTCCCGACCACGTCCGGTGGTTGTGTGCCTAGAACGGCATTCACAAGGCGGGAGTCTACATAACTCGAGACTGATTCCCTGTGAATGCCGTTCAGGGCCTGTCGGTAGGTCGACGGGTCCAGAGGTTGTTTAATAAACATCTGGACTTCGTCCGTCAGTTCGTAGAGATGCCTCCTGACATGCTTTGGCGAGGGCTCTTCTGCAAGCAGCTGTTTGCTGGGATGCCCACGTCTGTGGCCCCCCACAAGGAACTGCTTGCAGAGCATTGTATTATGCTCCTTGACTGGGAGCATCTGGGCCTCGTCGTGTAGGTGGTGTTAGGGCGTCGTCAGGAGGCATCCAGTCGCTGTTCGTAGTGCCGTGTTCTGGCAAGTCTGTAGCTTCATCCACTCCGTCCTGATAGTCCCAGGCGACCACACGGGCGCTGCATAGTTTAGAACCGGCCGGCCAATTGCCTTGTATGTTGCCAACAACGTTTCTTTATCTTTGCCGCAAGTGCTGCCGGCCAGCGACTTGAGGACATTGTTGCGGCTCTGTACTTTGTTGACAATCGCGGTTGTATGCGCCGAGAAGGAGAGCAGACTCTCGAAGGTAACTCCGAGGATATTCGAGTTATTCACCGTCGGTATTGTTACGCCACCAACGTGAATACCCAGTTGCAGTCTGACCTTCGTCCAGGTGGTGAATAGGGTTACCGAGGATTTCGCAGGGGATAGGGCAAGGCTCCTTGCAGTAAAGAAGCGAGAAAGTTCGGCGAGATAACCGTTTACTTTCGAGCACAAGTCATCAACTCCATTCCCAGACGCCATGATCGAACAATCGTCAGCATAGGAGACAATATTGACACCCTCTGGTGGTTGAGGAAGCTTTGAAATGTAATAATTAAACAGTAGTGAGGACAGGACACCACCCTGTGGTACCCCCTGTTTAATTTTACGTGGCTTGTTGGTTTTGTCTCTGAAAATTACTGACGCCACTCAGGTAATTCGCCGACCACCGTTTGAGTCCCTGTGGGAGTGAGGAGGCCTCTATACCTTCTAGTAGTGTTGAATTACTGACAGTG